TTTTCCTTTTTTTTTTTTTTTTTTTTTATCCCTGTTGACTTTCGACTGCGGAATGAGGACTTTCGGTTTAACTCTCTATTTTATTTTATTTTATTTTATTTTGTATTACTTCATCTGGCCATTTGTTCAATTATGGTTGCATTTCTCGCTTTTCATCATTTGAATGATTTTTTCTGCTCTGTTAAGCCAGTCTTTTTTTATTAAGTGGTTCGTTTTGATGAGTAATGAGATTCAGATTTTGTGTAATGAATCAAAATGTGGCTTAGGTTTGTACAAAAATAGAGAGCAGTAACCATTTGGATGGAGTTTATTTGTTTATAAATCAACCAGTTATGCCTCAGTTTAAAATAGTTGTGGTCGACTATGTGAATCATTTATCTTGTTCCGCTCTGTTCAGCCATTTTTCATTCTGTTTAGTATATGCATATACAGATATTGAACAAGAAATGCATACTTATTGATGGCCTACCAGGATAACTATGTTCGTGGACTTTATTTGTATGTAAAGGGGAAATGTGATACAACTAGAAATGTAAACTCCAAGTCACTACTTAGGTGGTTTTACTTATACTCTAAGACCATCAGTAGCTTTGACAGAACCCTTGTCTTTCCAATCTTCTCCTGGTGATCTGCAGATAGGTGTGACTTTGTAATGTCCCAGAGATTTTAAAGGAGACCATTCTTAATTCTTGATGGCTTTTGAAATAACAAATATTGAGCACCTCCTTGTATCTCACAACACCAGGAAATTGAATACAAAATGTCTATTGTTTAGAGAAATTCTTTACTTGAAGAGGGAGGGAGGAAGAATCAAAATATGGAGACTCTTCTTAGCCTATGACTATTCTGAAAATGTCCCACTAATAAATGCAAAATGTGAAGAAATCTGTCTCTTGTTTGCCTTTGGAATTGTATTCGAGTTATTGCTTGATGCAAGGGGAAAACTTAAATGATACAAAGTTACAAACTCAGAAGCTTTGAGATATGCCTCGAGCATAGTAACTTTTTGCGTGGTATTTTACTGACAAGGTTAATAAAAAACTATGAGAAGTTTAATCACGGATAGTAGCTTATCATAAATGCATTTCCTTTTTTTGTGGCGATGAGATGTCAGCGAATTCGGATAAATTTGTTCACTTCCTTTTTGAGCTTTTTGCCCCTTAACAAAAGAGAAAGAGTAATATTTTAAAGCATAAACAGAGCTCCTAGTTTTCTAATGAAAAGACTATGGGTTTGCTTAACTGACAAGAGATATATAACTGTTAAAAGTCTGAATTCAACGTGAATAGCGCATGATGGAGTTTGAGCTAATACTTCCAAACAGAACAGTGACCTTCTTTTGTGGCTCAAATATATGATTTGCTATTTTTCTTAAATACATGGTATTTGGTGTACAGGTGAGATGTTATCGGGAAAAAAAGATTTCCTTATTGCACTAGGGGCTAGGACGCTTATATGTAATTGTACCTGTGGTGGATGTTTTTGCAGCTTATGACCATGATCTGAATGTCAATATGCACCAACCTTACTCATGCAATATGACTAATTACCCTTTTAAAAAGGTCTTGCATTTATCAGGCAAATGCTTATTCTGTTTTTCCAGTGAGATAAAATTAATTGTGTTGCATCATTTGACCAGAAAATAGCAAATTGCGTAGAAAATAGCAAATCTTGGTTGAAACCCAACTATGGAACACAACTGTGTAGAAAATAGCGTTGTGTTGCTGATAATGCGTTGTAGCTCATTGTTAGCCCTGTTTATAGTTATTGTTTCTTATGAAAAAGGTACCTCTAAGTCAATCTTATCAATGATTAAACCTTTATCGAAAAAGGTTGAAATAGGAGTAGTCATTATAGTAAATGGCATCTTTCATTTGATCTTCTTATTGTGATCACACAGATGCTTTGCCATTATCTTTTTCACTTATTTTGATATTCCATGTGTCTGTTTGAAGGGAAAAGGAATGTTTAAAATAACAAGGAAACATTTTTCTTCAAGTTCTGTACACATTTTGCAGGATTTTATCTAGAGGGAATTTTTTTGTAGGAAATGTTTTTACCATTTTTCAGACAACTTTCCTGAATGCAAGTTAGTTGACTTTCTAGGCACTTTTCTTTTCATTTCTTGGCAACATATGGTACCAAAGTCTGAGGGGATTCATAATTGCACATGATCAATTGTTGATGTGCTTATCTACTGATGTCAATCACGAACACGCTGAAAGCATAAACATGAACCAAGCACATTTGTTATTGTTTCCCTTGGTCTTAGCTGCCTTATTTCAATATTTCAGTATTAGTGTAGCAAAAGCTCAGAATTTTTTTTTAGAGGGTGTCCGTGAGGAATGATTTGCAAAATTTTAAATGGCATATGTAGTGGATCATTTCCTTATTCTTCTTTTGTTCACAGAATAATCTTCTGACTGCAGCTGCTTTTCCGGGCTATTGAAGATGGATTCTGCAGGATTCTCTATGAAGCTGTGGCCCCCAAGCTTAAGTACCAGACTTATGCTTGTGGAGAAAATGACCAAGAATCTTATTACTCCATCCATCCTATCCAGGAAATATGGCCTTTTGAGTAAAGAAGAAGCTGAGGAGGATGCCAAACAAATAGAAGCTGTGGCTTTTGCGTCTGCCAATCAACATTTTGATAAGGAGCCAGATGGAGATGGAAGTTCTGCGGTGCAACTTTATGCTAAGGAATCTAGTAGGCTTATGTTAGAAGTTATTAAAAGAGGCCCTCAGACAAAGGAGGAATCTGCAGAAGGTGTAATACCTGAGAAGGTTAAAGCATCTGATGAAACTACTGTTTTTGATATATCCAAAGGTAGACGGGATTTCATCAATGCAGAAGAGGCTGATGAGTTATTGAAACCACTAAGTGAACCGGGGAATAATTATAAAAGGATATGTTTCAGCAACAGAAGCTTTGGTGTGGATGCTGCTAAAATTGCAGGACCCATTTTGTCCTCTCTTAAAGATCAATTGACAGAAGTGGACCTTTCAGATTTCATAGCGGGTAGACCAGAGGAAGAAGCACTGGAAGTCATGGAAATCTTTTCTTCTGCTTTGGGTGCCTGTGACTTGAGGTATCTCAATCTTTCTAACAATGCTTTAGGTGAAAAGGGCGTAAGAGCTTTTGGGGCACTTTTGAAGTCACAACGGAACTTGGAGGAGCTCTATTTGATGAATGATGGCATCTCCGAGGAAGCAGCACAAGCAGTCTGCGAGCTAATTCCTTCAACCGATAAACTTTGTATCCTTCATTTTCACAATAACATGACAGGAGATGAGGGTGCACTTGCTATTTCTGAACTTGTGAAGCATTCTCCTGCATTGGAGGATTTCCGGTGTTCATCTACAAGGGTAGGATCTGAAGGTGGGATTGCTCTTTCACAAGCTCTTGGAGAATGTAGGAATTTAAAGAAACTTGATTTGCGTGACAACATGTTTGGTGTGGAAGCTGGAATTGCCTTGAGCAAAGTACTATCAATCTTTTCTGACTTAACTGAAATCTACCTTAGTTATCTGAATTTGGAGGATGAAGGGTCCATTGCTCTTGCTAATGTCCTCAAGGGATCTGCTCCATCCCTTGAGGTTTTGGAGATGGATGGAAATGATATCACAGCTAAAGCTGCTCCTGCTCTGGCAGCCTGTATAGCTGCAAAGCAATTTCTTACCAAGTTGAGGTTAGCAGAGAATGAATTGAAAGACGAGGGCGCTATCTTAATTGCAAAGGCATTGGAGGATGGTCATGGTCAATTAACTGAACTGGATATGAGTACCAATGCAATAAGAAGAGCTGGTGCCAGGTGCTTGGCACAAGCTGTTGTGAGCAAACCTGGGTTTAAGGTGCTGAACATCAATGGCAACTTCATATCTGATGAAGGAATTGATGAGGTTAAAGATATTTTTAAGAATTCACTTAATGTTCTTGGGCCTTTGGATGAAAATGATCCTGAAGGAGAAGATTATGATGAAGAGGCTGATGAAGAAGCAGATAATGAATACGAGTTGGAGACAAGGCTCAAGGATCTTGATATCAAGCAGGAAGAATAAGCTTTTAAAGAAGCACAATATGGCCTAGTCTAAATTCCCGTTATACTAGGTCATAATTGCCAGATTGTGCTTAATAAGCTAATCTAGCTTTTAGTACTATCATAATGTAGGTTAGATTTCAATATCATTTCTTGCCATTAGTATCAGGTTCAAACTCTTCTGTCCAACCTGCGCTTATGGAGGCTGAGAATTGTTCTTTAATAGTTGTTATGACTTTATTAAACTTCATTTGTTGCTTGCATTGTTAGTATAATGTATTGAGTATATTTTCCCAAATACAACCTACAACATGCCAAACTTAGTTTATAATATAAGCTTTTCCCTTTCTCCATTTTTTGCTGGATCAACTGATCAAGTATTTCGCTTACCTGATAACCAACTTAAATGCCATTAACAATAATTGATCTGGTGGAGCATGCATGAGTAACATAATCATGTTTAAATGTGATAGTCTGCAGATATGCCTGGTCTATTTTAGTGCCAATGATGATAGAACCAAAACGTAGATTTTAAGCTCAAGTATTATCAGTAGCGAGACAAATGTTCGAAATTTATGAATGGGACTAAAGGGTGCAGAAAGGGAGCAAGTGTAATGCAGCAAGCCTTGGGCCAAGCTTGTCATTCAACATAAATAACTTTGCACATAACGTGCTGAACAGTTTAGATCATATATCTCGATTCTTGAACTTGATCATTTTCTTACAAAATTTAGAGAAATTGTAGGGAAGAATGATAGACATGCACCTTCTCTATAAATAGCACAAATTTAAAAAGTTGAATGTAAAAATATGCGGGATGAGGTTAATCAAGCAGCAACTGGTACTTTTAGAGCTTCTAGTATCTTATCGTCTAGTTCAAACTTCATTTGTTTCTTATCTCTGCCAATCTTCACGTACTCATCATATCGCTCCTTCAAATCTTCCGGTAGGTTAGTCGTAGCACTCCATCCCAGAATCTCCTTCGCAGCTCTAGGCTCAGAATAGAAATGCTGCAAAGAAACACCAGAGGAAATTAAGATCTGATACAGATAACAATGCCTGGAACATGAATAGGTCTATCATTTGAAAATAAATCATGAAAATTTGTAAAGTGAACACTCAATGCACTTTCCACCTTACATTGACAAGAAAATGTGGATACATACCATGTTGCGGAAAGGGAAAGCTTTTTTTGCATCAACTCCCACTGCTTTGGGATCATAATGCACAATCTCAACAGAGAGTCCAGCAGCTTTAGCGCATAATTTGGCCATTCCATCCAATGTCACAGCACGGTCACTAACACAGTTGAAGATGTGACCGCTAGCAGCAGCTGGATTCTGGACAGCCGCAGTAAGCATGGATGACAAGTCCCTGACATGTGCTATGTTGGTTAGCTGCATTCCAGATCCAGGTATTGGAACTGGTCGTCCACGAACAATACCTGTATGATACGATTAAAAAAAGAGACACGGACCATTAGTAGAACTCAAAAACTGGCTGCAATCAAAATTATGCTATTTGAATCTGAGGTAACCTTCACATGTCACTAGTGTTTCTAAATGGTTATCCAATTATGCAGTGCGGATTCAACAATGGTTAGCGAGTTCGGCAGAATCCAGGTTTACGGAGTCAAACCCGATATATATACATTTCAGAACTCACAACATTTAAATTCTCCAGTTGTCACTTCAATTATGTCATAAGTTATTACTAAAGTGATCTGAAAACTAGCAACAAAAACACAAAAGCAGTGAAACACCAGTCCTTTTTTCAAATACTAACAAAAACTGGTACTGTTTATATTATGCAGGCTTGTTTACTTACGATCAAAGAACCATTCCTCACAATCCTTGTTATTGCCAGAGCCAATCATATACTGGGGACGGAAGCTTGCCCAACTATCAAATATCTCGGAGATGTATTTCTCGACTCCCACATGGCCAGCATCAGCTTTCACAGCATCCTGTAAGGTCGAAAGTTTACTTGACAAAGAAATTTCTGTTTATACAGGCGACAGCTAAACATTAATCCTACCCCTTCAACATGAGGAGGCTCATCAGTTGACTTGTAAATTCCAGCGCTGCTGATAAACAAAAATTGCTTCGCACCTGAACTCTTGGCCCAGTCAGCCACAGGCCTACAGAAGAAATTTATTAGAAAACTTTGATTAACTACTTATGTTGAGATTGCTACACATCTGCAACTTTCATCAAGTTATATAACCAAAGAGGGTAAAATACTGATGGTACTTATGAAGAGTACATAAATGCTGAAGCTTTTTGGTTTGGGAGAATGCTCCGGTCAAACCAATATCAATCAAAAGTAGTATAATTTCTTCGATTTCTGCAAATTGCCAACTTCCCAATCCTCCTAACTTTATGTATTTATACATTCAAATTCACTAGCAATTGCAAATACTGTAGCCCAAAGATGAGCTAGCATCGACCATACAGCTGCTTAATGGATCTAATCCCATTTGGAACTTGTCTAATCATGAAACTGCAATCATTCTTCAAGAAAAGAAAGCATTATTAACCCAAATATGTAAATAAACAACCCCACCTAACTAAACGAGATATTGTCCTCTATTTCTAGTACTTTAGCCAATAGTCTATTAATCCTACTACAGTATCACTGCAGAAAACAAGAAAAGATTATGTGATCAACAGCTTCTAATCCGAGCGTTTGATTCCGCAAGCATTTGTCCACTACCTGAGGCGTTAAGAAAAACTTACTTAACTAAAGCTCTGATTTATTGTTAGAACAAGGGGGAAAAAAACAAACCTTACAGCATCCAAGTCTTTACCGTTGTTGTCCAAAACAGCATCAAATACTTCCCCCTCTAAAATCTTCCCAACATCTGCGGGATCACCCCATACTGTTCGACCACCAGCACCGGTAATTTCCTGAAAATTAGGCGATTTATAGACAAAATTAGATCCAACTTCAGATTCTAAACTCTCCCAGAAACCGTCAATTCAATGTTTGAAGTTCAAAATCACTCACTCCGTCCCTATTTATATGACACTTCCTATTTTAAAATGTTCAAAATGTTTCACACCATTCCACTTATATACAATTTTCAAAATTAGATAGTTTCTCTATCAAACTAATCTTTCAACCATTGCTTCAATATTTTCTCCCATGAGTAGTACTAACATAACAATCCCTCCGTTTTGTTTGATATGACAGTAAAAAAGAAAGAAAGACCTCTGACACAGACCAAAAGTAGGATTTTAAAGAGTGTCACATAAAATGGATAAAGTATTTTATAACTCTACTCCGTGGTCAATCAATTAATATTGTATAAAAAGACAGTAATTCTTAACTGAGAATCTGTTGAAAGGAGTTTTCTTCATCTTATCAGAGCTCTCTTCTCCAACAGTAAGAATGGTAACATCATGACCAGAACCCAGCAATTCTTTAGCAAAGTAGAATCCAATGACTGCATGACCACCGCTGTTTGTATTAACAATAAGCACCTTCTTCTTCTCAGCTGCACTTGCCTGGACAGTGAAGTACTGGGAGATAGAAAACCGCCTAGAATTAGTTGTTGGGTATGCAAGGAAAGATGGTGAAATCGAAAGAGAAGAAGACAGAGAAGAAAAAGAAGAAGAAAGTTTAAGAGAGAAGCGTGAAACAGTGGAGATTAATGAAGTTGAAGAAGAAGAGTTGAAAGAAGAAGAAGAATGGAGAAGAGAGGACGAAGAAACAAGAGTAGCCATTGGAGGAGAGTTTGAGGATTGTGGACTTGATCTTACGAGAGCCAACAATTTATATTGATTCTAATGTATGGAGATAACTCAGATAAGTGATCAGTTGATCTGGGCGCTATGTTTGGTTACAATGAGAAATAAAAAAGGGAAGTGGGAATTATGATTTTTCTTTGGGATTTCTTTTTTTTATTATTTCTCAAAGCATATAAAAGGAAAATAGGATACAGAGGATAGGAGAGAAAATGATCAAATAATCTTTATGGCCACGGGTATTCATAAAAATCCGAAAAATCGAACCAAACTGACCAAAAAAAATGATACCTCCGGTTTGGTTTGGTTTTGGTTTTGAATTTTAAAAACCAAACAAATTTGGTTTGCTTTTTATTTTAATAAAAAAATAACTGAAAAATCCGAACCAAACCGATTATAGAAGTAGCTATTTAAAATTTATTATTACACCTATATATATATATATATATATATTTTTATACAAAGTTTCTAAAATTTTATGGTACATATTAATTGTCTCCTTTTAGTTTAGTTCTTTGCTATATAATAATCTTTACTAAGTACGAGAATCTATTTTATTTTTAAAATAATCTATTTTTAATTGAGCGCCTAAATTATTCTATCACTATTTGATTCAATTATCATCAATATATCTTCAGAAATGATAGATTTCTCAAAGAGCAATTGGTTTGATAGTGTTACGTTGAAAATATAATCGCCGAAATATGTATTTGGTAGTGTATCTCTCATCTTTAAGAAAAAACGGACAGAAACTGACATAAACCGAATCCATAAAAACCGAATTAATTGGTTTGATTTGGTTACAATATTTAAAAAATCTGACTTATTTGATTTGGTTTCTTTTCAAGGAAAAATCGATTCAAACGGAACTATGAACACCCCTACTTATGGTATATGGGTTGTCTTATTTTGGTCCTTCATATATACCGCTCGATAGATGAAGTCCTTAATATATGTATAGAGGTGACCAATTTAGTCCCAAAATCTAATAGAATTTTCAAGTAGGATTCTTAATAAAGTACAAAATATTAGTTTTTTTTCTTTCAATTATTATATAATCTATTTAGTTTTTGTGTGTTTTAATATAAAATGAAATTTTATCTTAACTTTAGTATACTATATCAATATATGGTGCTACAACAAGCTAGAATTAAAAAGGAAAAAGTATAGGAGCAATATTATTGGTAAGATTTAAATTATTGAAATCATCTTAAAATTGTCTAATTGTGCAATAAATAGTTTCCATATAACTTTACCGTTGAAGATATAAACACAAAGTGATACATTCTTTTTTTAAAGTATTATTTTTACTCAAATTATTTGATGGTCAAAACTTAGATATAGAAGTTTCTTATTTGAATCATGTTATTCAAATTACAATTTAATGTGATTAGTATTTTTTAATACTGTCAGCTCATTGCATGAGTACTAATACTAGTATTTGTAAACAAAGAATATGTCAAACCAATAACAAAAATAACTATTTTAATTATTTCTAATTTGATAAGTTACATTAAAACTTACTACTTCATGCTACAAAATTTATATGACTCTTTCCGTATTATGATATGTATAATAAGTCAAAATGTTTGTCAACATTATGTTCTTATAGAACTTTCAGAAATGTTCAAGAATTTCAATTTATTAAACCATTCAAAATTAAAACTTTTCTATACTGATTTTTTACCAATTAAATCATGAACAATTATATTTCTTCCACTACTATTAATACTACAAATCAAATTATTAATATCTTAATTTTCATTCTAAAAGCATCACATTTTACAGAAAAAAAGAAATTACTTTCTCGTGATTATGATGATTCGGTTTAAAAGGACAAAAAAGAGATTTGATTTTGAATTATAAATCTAAGCAAAAGAAGTTGGTTACTTGATTTTAGAATTGGCGCTTTACTTGAAGCTGCTCCACTGGTTCACACTTCACTCTGAGCACATTATAGATAAGATAAGGCCTCTCCGTCATTCCTCCTTCTCTTTCACCGCCGTGCTCCACCGTCAATTCCGTCGTCGCCGTTACAAAAACAAAGTTTCGTGCACACAAAAATTCGTTATTCTCTATGGTATCTCTACAAACTCCAAACTCCACCGTCCGTTCCACGCCGTGCCCTCTCTTTCCCCATCCCACGCGTCGCCAGTGTTTGCACTTCTGGCGTCGCCGAAATAACTACTCCGTGTACTCCTCCGCTCGGGACAATGTCAAGCTCGTGATAAACAATCTAAACCGACCCGAACAAACTCCTAGAACGCTTTTCCCCGGTGGATATAAGCGGCCGGAAATCAAAGTGCCCAGCCTAGTGCTAAAGCTGAGCTGCGAAGATGCGTTGGAAGATGAAACCGTTATTAATGAGATAGACCGGGCGGTTTCGGGTCGGGTTGACATTGTGGTGCTCAGTGGCGGTGGAGCAAGCGGCGGGAAGTTGTACGAGGCTGCGTGTTTGTTGAAATCTGTAATTAAAGGCAGGGCTTACTTGTTGATCGATGGACGTGTCGATATTGCCGCCGCGATTAGTGCCAGTGGAGTTCTGCTCTCTGATCAAGGTTATGTTCTGTAACATGGTACTTATCGTTTTGTGTTGTGTACTTCACCTTACACGTTGAGTTTGTGCTATGATGGGTTGTCTTATAATTCGAAATGAATATTGTGCAAAGTGTAAAACTACTTGGCCATCTTAATAGGTGATGATCTTAATTTAGCGCCAATTCACCATTATAGCGAAACCTACTAGTTTGGGATTGAAGTGTAGGTGATTGATTGAGTGATACCCTAAGACGTTCATGTTAGTATGTTTTGTTGCATAAAATTGTAATCTCAGATAACCAAGACACGAACTTTATTTTATTTGTTACATATAGTTGCTAGTACTGGTAACTTTTACTTATTAAAAAAATTACGAGTACTAGTTGCAATAGGGTTATTCATGATGGTGCGTTGAATGAAGCTGTTTCCTATATAATATATATCTGTCCGGTCATGAGATATCGCTAAGTGTAATATGTTGATTATTACATACTGAATGAAACAAATGTTGATTATTAGTGTCTACGGTGGTTCATCCTGAAACTAACTGTGTATGAATCATAAGTTCAAACTTCGCTAACTTTGGTAATAATCTCTAACCAACTTACAATTAGCCACCACTGACTCTCAGTTTTAGGTTCACTCATTTGGCTTTGGTTGAATGCAAACTTTGAAAAGATTTGTGGTTTATCTTTTAGATGCAAGATCTGTTGTCTAAAGTGAGTGGCCTGCTATGTAAATTCGTTGCAGTTGATAACCTATTCTCCTTTGTAACAGATCTTCCTGCTATCGTGGCCAGAAACACTATGATGGATTCAAAATCTGAAGAGTTAGTAGTTCTTCCTTTGGTAGCAAGAATTGTACAAACACGTACTGCTGCAGTGAATGCTTCTAATTCTGAAGGAGCTGATTTTCTTATATATGACGTCGGTGGCAATAGCCAACATGAGGAGCTGGTGAGCTCAGTATTTGAGCATGTGAAAATTCCTGTTTTTGTCATGATTGGTTCCCTTGGCGATCGCAAGTTGTTCAGTGAAGCACTAAATTTTCTTGAATCAGGGGCTAGTGGAGTAGTTATTTCGATGGAAGATTTGAAGTCTGTGACTGATGATGATTTTGGCAAACTGTTTTACAGTGCATATGCATTGAAGAACAAAACAGAGGAAAAAGTTCAAAGTAACAGTCAGCTTAACGTTTTGGACTTGGGGAATGGCTTTCCTGGTAAGAAGGCAATGGCTGGCTTTACCAGTTTACATGATAGGGAGCAGCAGTTGCTAGAAAAAGAAAAACTGGTTTTGCGCGAGGCCATACATGTTATTGAAAAAGCAGCTCCAATGGTGATCTTCTTTTGTCAAAGTTTAGCTGCTGAATTGTGCTACAGATAAGAATTCTTCTGTCAGTGGTTTGCTTGTTTAGACTAACCTGGGCTACTACTGGAATGGCAGATGGAGGAGGTCTCACTTCTCAGTGATGCTGTTTCTCAACTTGATGAACCATTTTTACTGGTTATAGTGGTAATTGTGCGCTGAACTTCAGCAAATTCTGGTTCCAGGGATATGCATGGGTATTAGCTCTGAATTTCAAATGAGTATTTCCTTCTCTGGTCCAGTCTAAATTTTAAGCTAATGCATAAAACTAAGATCTTGTAGATGCGAAAATTCTGTTTATACAAGTTTCTTTTTACGTCTTTTTTGCACTATTTCTTTTTTCCACTTCTTGCATTTGTTACTTCTTATCTCTGTCTCTTTCTGTCTGTCTCTATCTCTGTTTGTCTGTCTCTCTCTCTCTCTCTCTCTCTCTCTCCATATTACTGTTTTCTTAAGACCATATAATATACCATATTCAGCATAAACATTGTTATTAATACTTCATCCCCTTCTTTCTTGTGAATTCTTAATTTCCTGATAAACCAGGGAGAATTCAATTCTGGAAAATCTACTTTCATCAATGCTCTTCTCGGGAAAAAATACTTGAAAGATGGCGTTGTTCCTACAACAAATGAGATCACCTTTTTGCGCTATGCTGAGTCGGATGTCGATGAGTCGCAGCGTTGTGAAAGGCATCCAGATGGTCAATATGTTTGCTACTTGCCGGCTTCAGTTCTTAACGAAGTAAGTTTTCTTGTCTGAAATTGCTACTACTTCCAATTGTACATTTCATCAAGGAATTTAAATAGATATCTCGTTCATGTTGGATAATTGTATGTGCAAGTAATAATGTTGATGAATATGTCAATAACGCCGGCATATCACAGGGCACTATTGACTTACCGTTTTGTGTTTCTCACTTATTGACTATGTCTTTTGGCCTGATTTGAGACACATTTTAAAGTTGGATACTTTGTTTTCTGTTGGTTTAATATGCAATTTTTAACCTTTTGTAAGATCATTTATTACATTTTTTTTTGATAAATAGAAATTTTATACAGTCTTCACAGAAAGCCCAATCAAGAAAGAAAACCTGGAGTTGGACAGAAGGCCCCAAGCTCCAGTATTCATCAAAACTCCTATCTGCTACTAAACTAGCTAAGGATAAATATTTAATTGATCTAATCTTCCTGCCAGTTTATGCTTCAGCTGTCCCCTACACAAAACCTCTTGAATCACTTTTTTTGTTAGCACCTTCAGTTCCCTCTGGTCCCCTTGAAATTGCCTGCAATTTCTTTCTTGCCATAGATAAAAAATACATCCAACTAAGGACATTCTACAGACTTCAGCAAGTGGCTTCTTTCCGTTCATATGTGATATAGCCCAGAGCAATTCATCCTGCAAACTCTGAATGTTCCTTGATATCCCTTGTCATCTAAGTAAACTACTCCAGATCCCAGCAGAATAAGCACACTCAAAAAACAAATGAGCTATGCTTTCATTTTCCTCTTTGCACAAGGTACACTTCTGGCCCTCTATTACCCCCCATCTATGTAACCTGTCCTTGGTATAAAGATTTCCATGAGCAACTATATTATTTCCTCCAATGGACTTTAGGGAAGCTGCCTCTTAATTTCTGATACATGGAACTAACAGACAAGGACTTAGTTTCCTGCAATTCAGCCATACTAATGCCAGCCTCTTCAACATATTTCATTGCCTTCAGTATCTTCTTCTTGCCTTCAATGTAATAGCTATGTACCCTTTGAACCCATACTTTATCCTTTTTCTTGCATAAATTCCATAACAACTTGCAGATAGCAGCTTTATTCCATACTTGAATATCAATGACATTAAAGCCCCCTGCAGATTTTGGTTGGCACACTTTCTCCGATTTATTACATATTGTGATCTGCAAATGTTTGTTTAAGTTTCAAAAATTTATTGCACATATGCTTTTCACACCAATTGTTACTAGTTTTAGTTTCGAAGGCTTATTGCACATTTACTTTGATGCCAGTATTCGGCACATATTTTGCTGAATTTTGTTCTTTATGCGAAATTTAGATGCTTTCTAAACTGTGTGCATTTAAACGCTCTATTTTGTAACTAATATGGGTTAGTTGTGATCTAGATTAAACTTTAGAATTGGACTTCAAATGGGCTGGAGTAACTCTCCACATGCCTGGTCGCAATTCCATAGAGAACTCTTTGAAAGAAAGTTAAATTATCTGCTTTTGTATTTGGCTAATCTAATATTTGATTGCGTGTATAAGCTGCCTCACTACTTGATTTGGGTTCTTAGTTTCCATGCTCTAATTTCTTATTTGTCTGTTCTGGCAGATGATCATTGTTGATACTCCAGGGACCAATGTGATTCTTCAAAGGCAACAAAAGCTGACGGAGGAATTTGTGCCTCGTGCAGATCTGCTTCTGTTTGTCATGTCTGCTGATCGACCATTAACTGAAAGTGAGGTACAGTTTTGTCACTTTTATGATTACCAGTTCAGCGTTTTTAAGGTTATAGAATCTGGGACCTTGTCTGTCTTAGGCCTGTGTCCCGCAAGAATGAGGACATTTGGGTTTATGAGTTTAAGGTGGGATTGCATATGGTTTCAATTTTTCACGACAAGATTACCCAATTTTGTGCTCTCATCTCAATCAATCTACAGTACAAGTGAATATTTACCATTGCAATTGTCAGATAAGGTTATGTGTCAAAATAACTTATACAACAACAACCACGCCTCAATCCCAAGCAAGTAGGTATCGGCTATATGATCCTCATTGTCCACGTCACTCTATTTAAGCTCATATATGTCCAAGATTATATATAATAAAATTAAAAATAAAAACAACAAGTAGTAAAAGTTCTATATATTTTCTACTTACAGATATATTTCTCGGACTAAAAGACTCCTAGAAAATAACTTATCAATTAAAAAAAAACGTTTTGCGTTAAAATAAGGCAAGAAACTGGGGCGAATTGGAACATGCCTCTTTGCATCTTAGTGCCTAAATACAAACTTATTACGAGCATTGTGCTTTTGGTGCACTATGAAACAAAGGGACAACCTTTTTTGTCTCAGCCGATCTGACAACACTAATAGCCTGTTTGGCCAAACTGGAAAAATCAGCTTATTTGAGAAGTGCTTTTTTCAAAAGTGCTTTTCAAAAAAGTACTTTTGGAGAAAAACAGTTTGTGTTTGGCTAATCAATTTGAAAAATACTTTTGAACAATAATTTGTGTTTGGCCAAGCTTTTCAAAAAGTGCTTTTATGTGTCAAATTACAAATAAGGAAATGAAGAGACTTGCTTAATAGTTAATATTATATAAGTAGATAAATAATTACAAATATTTATTATTAAAGATAATAATTAAGTTTTTAATTTTATTTAAGTAAAATATAAAAATAAAATTGAAAAGTACTTTATTCCTTCAAGATAATTTAAATATATCGAAAAATCATCCAATAAATATGAAAATTCATCCCAAAAGTCATTTTATATTACTTAATAGTTTAAACTAAGTAAGGTTATTTTGGTACATATAAAATTTTGCAAAGGGTATTTTTGGTAGGAAGAAAAGTCAAAACTGCTTCTGCTTCTGGAGAGAAGCTACTTTTTTCTGATTCTTTAAAACTGTTTCTGCTTCTAACCAAAAGCACTTTTTTTTCAAAAAAAGCTTGGCCGGATAAAGGCACTTTTTTTGAAAAAAAAGCACTTTTGGCATGGTGAGAAGCTTGGCCAAACATGCTATTAAGTGTCATAGTTGTGGCGAGGGTGGAAAGAGCACCTCCAATTGCGAAGGAGTAAGGGAAGTATATATTTTGTGGTAGCACTGGCCAGCTACCTTTAAGCAACCTTCATTTTCATGCTTAAATGTTGTAGCTAGATTGGATTAGGATAAGGAAATTGTTCATTTATTGGAAGGGTTTTGGTGCTTGAGGAAGCTAAGGACCGGTCTACCGGATATCTTTTGGACGTCACTAGAGCTTCATTGCAACAACAATACCTCCCATTTCCGATAAGTCTCGGATTTGATTATCCCACTCTATAGTTCAAATGTGTTACGTGCTGTAGTATTCATAAGGATTTATGAACTGTCTTTTATGATTTAATTCTTGCCACCTGCTTTATTTAATGACTGTAAAAGAGCATGTGATGTTCCTGATGCTCTTTTGCTTTTAGCTTTTACCAATCACTGGAATTTATAGTAAGTACTGATAACTAGGAACCGTTAGTTGCACACCTCACACCTGTTAGTGCTAATGCCGGCCACTGTCATATTTCTGTTTCAGACCTGTGAGGCTAATGCCGGCCACTGTCAGATTTCTGTTTCAGGCCCTAAAAAGTAATTTTAACTATAAATTTTTCGCGTGGTATTCTTTATGAGACAGTCATGAATTAGCATGTAGTCTTTGGGTATTCTTTTCTCCAGTCATACTCCAAGCACCGATTAGACCTGACTATTAAGAAAACTCTAACACAGAAAATTATTATGACTGAAGCTAAATGAATTTTCAGTAGTCTGGCTAGTTCTTTGAGGGATCATCTGGATGTCCTGTTGTTGCTACATTTCTATGTGCTAGAAATTAAAGATTGGGTAATACTCTCTTCCAAACAGATCGAGTTTCTTTTGCATGTTAAACATAGAGATAGTCTTTCCTGAGCTTTGATTATCATAAACTGATATCTACTTAACTTGGGTGGAGACCTTTTTCTTTCACCACATATTACCTCTAATATTGTACTAACATAAAAGTTTATGAGACCCACTTTGTCTCATAAATATCAAACTCATCAAAGTAATAGTATATAGTTCTGAAATTACTATTTAAGATCTTTCAGTAGCGAAGTANCCCCCCAAAAAAAAAGTCATAAAGGTGGATGAATTCAAGCCGTTAGGTGTTGAAGGAGCCTTAATGAGATTATCACTTCTAAAGGTTTAATATCTCGGGCTTGCTGATATACAAAAGACAGTTCAATTTCATGTGCTTTTCGTCATCTCTCTACCTTGTCTTTCTTTTGGTATACAGTAGGCTCTTGTCATGTTTATTTTAGGTTCTTCTTCTTTTGCCAAAAGTTAACCTCACATGCACTTATGGTGCTTATCAGGTTAATTTTCTGCGTTACACTCAGCAGTGGAGTAAAAAGGTCGTGTTTGTGCTGAATAAGTCTGACATATACCAGAATAAGGGCGAGGTTGGTCATACATTCTTGCTGCTGTGATAATGTTGAGTGAGGAAATAATTTCTTATTATCCGTGGATATATCAGCTGGGCCATTTTGATTAGTCTTGTATTATTATTATTATTATTATTTCATGCTGTAGTTGGAGGTGGCCATTGGATTTATCAAAGAAAATACACAGAAATTGCTGAACACAGATTGTGTAACACTGTATCCAGTTTCTGCACGGCTTGCTCTTGAAGCGAAGCTTTCTACTTTTGATGGTGCTCTCAGTCAAAGTAATCGTAGTTCAAATGATAATTTTCATTGGAAAACCAAAGGCTTCTATGAACTTGAGAAGTACTTGTATAGCTTCTTGGATGCATCAACAAGTACCGGAATCGAGAGGATGAAGCTGAAGCTTGGAACTCCAATTGCCATTGCAGAACAACTAGTTTCAGCTTGTCAAGGACTTGTGAGACAAGAATGCCAGCAAGCCAAACAGGACTTGCTCTTTGTTGAGGATCTTATCAATAGTGTAAAAGAATGCACAAAGAAGCTGGAAATTGATAGCATTTTGTGGAAGAGGCAAGTTCTATCTATGGTATGTGCTGCTTTTATTGTGACTATCACAGTATTATTATAAATTTTAACCAACACATGGCATATGCCCTTGTATACCTTTGTACTAATATTCGCTGCGTACACTAAAATGCAGATAAACTCTACTCAAGTACGTGTCGTCCGGCTTGTAGAATCAACATTACAATTGTCAAATGTTGATCTTGTCACTTCATATGTATTCAGAGGAGAGAAATCTACTCAGATGCCAGCCACCACTAGTGTCCAAAATGACATACTCGGTCCTGCGGTTCTTGAAGGACAAGTGAGTGCATCACTCCTTACTGTTCTTAATTAGAGTCAACTCAATTATCTGTTTTTCTTCTTTGTTATTGTTGAAGTATGTGACCATCTCATCTAAAAGCTTAAGCTTTAGAGAGAGCACACTTTATTTACTTAATTTTGTCTTCAACACGCTCTTCCACATGCGGGCTTGATTCTTTTTTCATGGGCCAAGCATGTGAAAATTCTTTTTGATAATGGGTGGTGGTGAGACTCGAACTCAGGACCTTTGCCTGCTGTGATGTTGAAATATGTGACAATGTCATCTAAAAGCTTAATTTAGAGACGGCACACTATTATTTACTTAATTTGTTTTCAACAGTTATCAAAAAGCCAAAGTTACGTTTTTGGAGTTTAACTCGGTCATCCTCAGCTATTAGAACGTTGGAAGCATGATTGAAATATTCAGGAGTAGTTTATTATTTTCCCTTCTGTTGCCACGATGTGAAGGTGGATATTTCCAGAACTTGATTTTTGCAGGTTATTCGATGGAGAAGATATTTTTCTCTCCACGTAACTTGGAAAAATTGACCTCCAATTGATATTCACTGTGATTATCTGTGTGTGTGAAAGAAAAAAACCTCTTGAATGGGCCCAACGCTACAAACTTGCCTTCTTATTTAGGAAGTAAAGCAATTGATGAGTGCTAAGCAACCATGTGAAATTGCCCTTGTACAAGTCAAATTATAGTATAGAGAAGTTATCGTTTTTCAAGGATTGGTTTCTCCACTAAAACATGATTATGCTAGATTACTTATTTGGGAAATTGTAATTGGTGTTATAATTGGTTTAACGAAATAAAGAAATTATATTAGACGTAATTAGAAACCAAAGGAAGGAACACAAGTTAGGTTGGACTTAATTCAATTCGGAAAAAAAAAGTCGAAAAAGATGAGAATCGTGACTTCACTTGATGATTAATGTAAGACAATCAATTAATTCTATCAATTAAGAGACAAATTTTGGATCATATTCTTCAACCTTCTTGCTACTGCATCTTTAGGAAAACCGAACACTGCTTTGTGGTCTTCTTTTTCTTCACCCTTTCCTTCTACCATATGATAGTCTTATCCTAATACAGAAAATTTCATCGAAAGATATTTTCTTCGATATCTGTAGCTTTAATTTGTGTGTATATATTTGTTAATTATATTGTTTATGTTAGTTTACAGCATGTATATAGTGTAGTATTGTCCCACATTGGTAGAAGAGTAGTATGTC